TTTTTGACCACAACACTATGAGATTGGAAATCAATTACAGGAAAAAAACTGTAAAACCCACAAATACATGGAGGCTAAACAGTGCACTGCTAAATAACCAAGAGATCACTGAAGAAATCAAAGAGGAAATTTAAAAATACATAAAAACAAATGACAATGAAAACACAATGACCCAAAAGCAGTTCTAAGAGGGAAGTTTATAGCAATGCAATCTCACCTCAAGAAACAAGAAAAATCTCAAATAAACAATCTAACCCTACACCTAAAGCAGCTAGAGAAAGAAGAACAAAGAAAACCCAAAGTCAGTACAAGGAAAGAAATCATAAAGATCAGAGAAGAAATAAATGAAATACAAACAAAGAAAACAATAGCAAAGATCAATAAAACTAAAAGCTGGTTCTTTGAGAAGATAAACAAAATTGATAAACCCTTAGCCAGACTCATCAAGAAAAAAAGGGAGAGGATGCAAATCAATAAAATTAGAAATGAAAAGGGAGAAATCATAACTGACTCTGCAGAAATACAAAGGATTATAAAAGACTACTACAAACAACTATATCCCAATAAAATGGACAACCACGAAGAAATGGACAAGTTCTTGGAAAGGTGCAGTTTTCCAAGACTAAACCAGGAAGAATTAGAAAATATAAACAGACCTATCACAAGTAATGAAATTGAAACTGTAATTTAAAATCTTTCAAAAACGAAAGCCCAGGACCAGATGGCTTCACAGGTGAATTCTATCAAACATTTAGAGAAGAGCTAACACCTATCCTTCTCAAACTCTTCCAAAAAATTGCAGAGGGAGGAACACTCCCAAATTCATTCTACGAGGCCACCATCACCCTGACACCAAAACCAGACAAAAATATCACAAAAAAAGAAAATTATAGACCAATATCACTGATGAACATAGATGCAAAAACCCTGAACAAAATACTAGCAAACAGAATCCAACAACATGTTGAAAGGATATACACCATGATCAAGTGGGATTTATCCCAGGGATGCAAGGATTCTTCAGTATATGCAAAACAATCAATGTGATACACCATATTAACAAATTGAAGAATAAAAACCATATGATCATCTCAGTAGATGCAGAAAAAGCTTTTGACAAAATTCAACACCATTTATGATAAAAAAAACTCTCCAGAAAATGGGCATAGAGGGAACCTACCTCAACATAATAAAAGGCCACATATGACAAATCCACAGCAAACATCATACTCAATGGTGAAAAACTGAAAGCATTTCCACTAAGATCAGGAACAAGACAAGGATGTCCACTCTCGCCACTCTTATTCAACATAGTTTTGGAAGTCCTAGCCATGGCAATCAGAGAAGAAAAAGAAATAAAAGGAATACAGATTGGAAAAGAAGTAAAACTGTCACTGTTTTCAGATGACGTGATACTATACATAGAAAATCCTAAAGATGCCACCAGAAAACTACTAGAACTAATCAATGAATTTGGTAAGGTTTCAGGATACAAAATTAATTCACAGAAATCTCTGGCATTCCTATACACTAACAATGAAAAATCAGAAAGAGAAATTAAGGAAACAAGCCCATTTACCATGCAACAAAAAGAATAAAATACCTAGGAATAAACCTACCTAAGGAGGCAAAAGACCTGTACTCAGAAAACTATAAAACACTGATGAAAGAAATCAAAAATGACATAAACAGATGGAGAAATATACCATGTTCTTGGATTGGAAGAATCAATATTGTGAAAATGACTATACTATCCAAAGCAATCTACAGATTCCATGCAATCACTATCAAACTATCAATGGCATTCTTCACAGGATTCAAACAAAAAATTTTAAATTCGTATAGAAACACAACAGAACTTGAATAGCCAAAGCAATCCTGAGAAAGAAAAACGGAGCTGGAGGAATCAGGCTCCCTGACTTCAAACTATACTACAAAGCTACAGTAATCAAGACAGTATGATACTGGCACAAAAACAGAAATCTAGGTCAATGGTACAGAATAGAAAGCCCAGAGATAAACCCACACACATATGGTCACCTTATCTTTGATAAAGAAGGCAAGAATATACAATGGAGAAAAGACAGCCTCTTCAGTAAGTGGTGCTCGGAAAACTGGACAGCTACATGTAAAAGAATGAAATTAGAACACTCCCTAACACCATACACAAAAATAAACTCCAAATGGATTAAAGACCTAAATGTAAGGCCAGGCACTATAAAACTCTTAGAGGAAAACATAGGAAAAACACTCTGACATAATCCACAACAAGATCCTTTTTGACCCACCTCCTAGAATAATGGAAATAAAAACAAAAATAAACAAGTGGGATCTAATGAAACTTAAAAGCTTTTGCACAGCAAAGGAAACCTTAAGCAAAATGAAAAGACAGCCCTCAGAATGGGAGAAAATAGTTGCAAGCGAAGCAACTGACAAAGGATTAATCTCTAAAATATACAAACAGCTCACGCAGCTCAGTATCAAAGAAACAAACAATTCAATTAAAAAGTGGGCGGAAGACCTAAATAGACATGTCACCAAAGAAGACATACAGATGGCCAGGAGGCACATGAGAAGATGCTCAACATCACTAATTATTAGCAAAATGCAAATCAAAAGTACAATGAGGTATATCACCTTACACCTGTCAGAACGGCCATTATCAAAAAGTCTAGAAACAATAAAGGCTGGAAAGGGTGTGGTGAAAAGGGAACGCTCCTGCACTGTTGGTGAGAATGTAAATTGATACAACCACTATGGAGAACAGTATGAAGTTTCCTTAAAATACTAAAAATAGAACTACCATATGACCCAGTGATCCCACTACTGGGCATATACCCTGAGAAAACCATGATTCAAAAACAGACGTGTATCACAATGTTCATTGCAGCTCTGTTTACAGTAGCCAGGAAATGGAGCCAACCTAAATGCCCGTCGACAGATGAATGGATAAAGAAGATGTGGCACACATATACAATGGAATATTACTCAGCCATAAAAAGAAATGAAACTGAGTTATTTGTAGTGAGGTGGTTGGATGTAAAGTCTGTCATACAGAGTGAAGTAAGTCAGAAAGAGAAAAACAAATACCATATGCTAACACATATATATGGAATCTAAAAAAAAGAGAAAAAATGGTACTGATGACCTAGGGGCAGGGCAGGAATAAAGACATAGACATAGAGAATGGACTTGAGGACACGGGGTGGGAGGGGGAAGCTGGGGCATCGACATATATACAATGGAATATTACTCAGCCATAAAAAGAAACGAAATTGAGTTATTTGTAGTGAGATGATTGGATGTAAAGTCTGTCATACAGAGTGAAGTAAGTCAGAAAGAGAAAAGCAAATACCATATGCTAACACGTATATATGGAATCTAAAAAGAAAAAAAAAAGGTACTGATGAACCTAGGGGCAGGGCAAGAATAAAGAAAAAAGAAATAAAGAATGGACTTGAGGACACGGGGTGGGGGCGGGGGAAGCTGGGGCAAAGTGAGAGTAGCATCGACATATGTACACTGCTGAATGTAAAATAGCTAGCTAGTGGGAAGCAGCAGCATAGCACAGGGAGATCAGCTCGGTGCTTTGTGACCACCTAGAGGGGTGGGATAGGGAGGGTGGGAGGGAGGCTCAAGAGGGAGGGGATATGGGGATATATGTATGCATGTGGCTGATTCACTTTGTTGTACAACAGAAACTAACACAGCAGTGTGAAGCAATTATACTCCAATAAAGATCTATTTTTAAAAAGTGATTCATATAAAAATTTTTTTAATAAAATAAAAAATAAAATAAATTTAGGGCATTCCCTGGCCGTCCAGTGGTTAGGACCCTGTGCTTCCACTGCTGGGGGCACGGGTTCAATCCCTGGTCAGGGAACTAAGATCCCATATGCCCTGTGGCACAGCCAAAAAAATAATAATAAATAAATTTTAAAAGAAGTGACTCAGTTCCCCTTCTCCAGTTATCAAAGAAATCAACATTATCTCTTCGTTTCTTAGGGTTTGATTCTAAAGAAGGAAATTGGTATCATTATATCAGAGTCAAATCCAATCAGAAAGAAAAGCATCTTTGTAGCACAATCATCTAAAATCACAAACATCAACAACCTTAGAAATACGCTGATTGAAGTAATCACAGAGAAGGACAATTAAGTAAATCTGAAACAAATGCTGATGCTAAAGCTCATTTCAACTTTAAGAGAACAATATGAACAGAAAGTCACAAGTTTGACGGGAAATTTCCATTCTGGTCCTAGTAAGTATTTTAATTACATCTGTTAATCTGGGGATGTGCTCTGCAAGTGGGAAATCATGAAGCAAATTTAACAGAATTGCTCTTTCAGAAAAGAATTATCACTCATCAAAACCTCTGAAAGATTAAAACTATAATTCTGAAAAATAGTTTTTTTTGCTTTGCTCCACCTTTTTTATTCTTTTTTTCTTGATATAGTAAATGCCCTGAGGCTCTGACCCAGCTTCAGAAAAAAAGCCAGTAGAGTGAATTCGGGAGGAAAAAAATATATATCCAATTGAGGATGAGCAAAAGGGTAAGAGGAATTAAGAACTGACATGGAAAAGGAACACCCTAAAAGTATGTATATAAGGGCCAAAAAGGCAGCTTGCAAATAGGATGTTCCCGATCTCCTCTCCTCACCTGGACAAACCAGTCCTTTGCAGGAACAGCATGTCTTGCTCATCTCGCGTGTCCTCCTCCAGGGCTGGTGGCAGCAGCGGAAGCAGATGCAGTCTGGGGGGAGGCTCTGCCCGGGGATTCGGAGGAGGGGCCGGCAGCCGTGGCCTGAATGGGGGCTCCAGCAGGGGCTTTGGAGGGAGTTTTGGTAGCTGCTCAATAGGGGGCGGTTTGGGAGGAGCTTCAGGCTCTGGGATTGGCTTTGGTGGAGGGGCTGGATTCGGCGGGGGGTGCTAGCGGAGGCTTCTACAGCTATGGTGGTGGTATGGGTGGTGGTGTTGGCCATGGGGGGCTTTTCTCTGGAGGTGAAAAGCAAACCATGCAGAACCTCAGTGACTGGCTGGCCAGTTACCTAGACAAAGTCCCCTGGAGGAGGCTGATCTGGAGAACAAAATCAAGGAGTGGTATGACAAATTTGGGCCAGGGTCTGGAGTTGGTGGAGCTGGAAGAGATTACAGCAAATACTATCCAATCATTGAAGATCTTAGGAATCAGGTGAGACACTAGCCATGTCTGAATTTCTATTACTTCTGTAGCTTTCCCATTTAATCAGATCATGGACCATGATGGTGAATTTAAATCAAGGAATTATTTGAAAACATATCTGTTTTGTTGTATATGTAAAATGGGACTTGGTGTGCTTTAACTATGACAGTATTGTATACACGACATCCATTAATGTGTATACACATTAATTTTGTTTGCATCTTACATTTGAGTATTTCTACATAAGAGTAAAATTTATACAATGCCAGGTAGCTGATTAACATAAGAGTGATGGCTATGAGTTGACACAAGCTTCATCTAATTATTTCGTGATTAATTCTGGCAGGTTGATGTATTTTAGTGTCTTGCTAGATTTAAATCGTCTTACAACTATTTTTCTTCCTAGAAAGTCTGGTGCAAATATTGTATGAGAATGTGGTGGAATCTAAAATGTTTAACCATGGTTGTATGGGAAGTATATTTTTAAAGACTTTTTTGGAAGTGGAATTCATGTTTCACACTGTTTCTGAAAGAGCCCGTAGAACAACTGATCTTCCAAAGCACCAGAAATATTCAGAGGATTGTGTTCTGTAAAGCAACGTTCCATGCCCATTCCAATAACTGTGCAAGTTGTTAATTTTTGCAGAAAGATGTCTAAATACATTAGGATTATCAATGCAGTGTCATTACTAAGCACATTTTCAAAGCAATTCACCTTTAAAAGCTAACTCAGGAGACATCTACTCTCACAGGTGGGCATGTAGACACAGGTAAAAAGCATCCATGATTTATTCACTATTATTGTCTTTTCTAGATCCTTACTGCCACTATTGAAAATGCTGGGATTGTTCTGCAAATTGACAATGCCAGACTGACTGCTGATGACTTCAGACTGAAGTAAGAAAAATGAAGACTTGAAAACAAACGTCCTAAGGGAAATAAAATTCAATCCCTTGGCTTAGTTTACTCTAAATTTTAAAGAAACCTTTTAGGGGATCAAGACCTGAATTCACAAACATCCCAAGGGTACATTTCAAAAACCATCATTCTACCAACAAGAAAAGAAAGGCAGCTTCAGGATGAAATTTTTGTTATCAAAAATATTGGCCATCAATAGAATTAATGTAAGGCTCAGATTTTTCTTTACAAGGGAAAAACCCCTAAGAGAAAACTTAGCCTTCAATGATCAGATTGCTCAGGGGAGAAAATATTTTCTTGAATATGGAAGGATGGACTGTACTCTTTGAAATGGGCTGTACTGTACCCTTCCAGATACAAGAACGAGCTGCATCTCCGGCAGACCGTGGAAGCTGACATCAATGGCCTGCAGAAAGTGCTGGATGACCTGACCGTGACTCGCTCTGACTTGGAGATGCAGATTGAGAGCCTCACAGAGGAGCTGGCCTACCTGAAGAAGAACCACCAGGAGGTAGGAACACGGTCCACGATTAAATGACTGGCCTACAGAGTTTCCCCCACATCCATTCTACGACAGTAAATTCCATCTGGATGGATTTCCAACTTCTATAACCGGGGGAGAAAAGTAATGATGAGAAAATTATATGTGAATTTGTTGGGTTCTTTTTTTCCCCTTCAGTGTGCTAGTTTCAACCTTTTGTTGGCTTAAGCACATTTTAGGAAGTCATTGCTTTTCAGTTTTCATCACTCTGGTCTATTTTCCCTTCATGCTAGGAAATGAAGAGTATGCAACGAAGCTCCGGAGGGGATGTGACCGTAGAACTGAACCCAGGGACGGACCTGACTAAGTTACTGAATGACGTGAGGGCACAGTATGAGGACCTGGCTGAGCAGAACCACTGCGAGGCTGAAGAGCAGTTCAACGAGCAGGTAGATCATCACCCTGAGCCTCCGAGCCCTGCCCGCAGCCACATACACACACACACACACACACACGCACACACACACACACACACACACACACACACACGCGCCACTTCCGCTCATCTCATCAGCCTCATCTCATCAGCCTCAACTCAACATCAGTCTGCAACGAGACTGCGTTTTATTTGTATTTAGAGCGCATCTCTGCAAGCACAGATCTCTACCGATGCTGATGCCAGGCCAGCCAGTTCCACCAAGAATGAGATCACAGAACTGAAACGCACTCTGCAAGCCCTGGAAATTGAGCTGCAGTCCCAACTGGCCATGGTTTGTGCTTTTCAATACTCTCCAGTGGAGCAATTCGGTTTTCTTTGCCAAGATGTTCCACTTGGCACATAATAAATGCAGGATTAGGGAGGACTGTATTGTGGCTGTTGAAAGCATGAGACATTCCAGTTAAAAGTAATATATCTATTTCCATAAAAGATTTCGTTTTAAAAAAGTAATGGCAACAAAAATTAAGGAAGCAATGATAGAGCAATAGAGCTTGTAACTCATGGAAAGTGCCTTTCTCCTAGTATCTTATAAAATGTATTTTTTTAATCATCCAATGATTTATTTTCATCATGAAATTTTTATTTGCTTTTTCCCTTAGAAAAGCTCCCTGGAGAGATCAGCTCAGTGCTTTGTGACTGCCTGGAGGGGTGGGATAGGGAGGGTGGGAGGGCGACGCAAGAGGGAAGAGATATGGGGACATATATGTATGTATAACTGATTCACTTTGTTATAAAGCAGAAACTAACACACCACTGTAAAGCAATTATACTCCAATAAAGATGTTAAAAAAAGAAAAGAAAAGAAAAGAAAAGCTCCCTGGAAGGAACCTTGGCTGACACGGAGGCTGGCTACATGGCACAGCTGTCACAAATTCAAATGCAGATCAGCGGCCTGGAGGAGCAGATCTGCCAGATCTGGGGTGAGACTGAACGCCAGAACACAGAGTATGAGCAGCTGCTGGACATCAAGACCTGCCTGGAGTTGGAGATTGATCCCTACCACTGCCTGCTTGATGGAGAAGGAGGGCAAATGAAAGTCAGGAACATGCTAAACGCAGACCTTGGTGTATTTACATTATGAAACCAAAAAGGGGCTTGGGGACCAGACTTGTATTTATAAAGTAAAAGAGTCCAATCAAATGACAGCTGCCTTCATGGGAAAGAGCCCTCTGCATGGAGGGTTTCTCCTGCCTTTGCAAACGGCAAAGGAAAACAATTCTTTTTTTCTCCAGTGGTTCTGGTTTTGGAGGATCTGATTTTAGAAACTCGGGATCAGAAACACGGGGTCCAGAAACACCGGATCCAGGGATTCATCCATGTCTAGTGACTCAAGATCTGGAAGCTGTTCTGTCCAAGGAAGAGGTAGATATTTTTTTCACGTTCCTGGTAATTTTATAATTGAAACGTAAAGGCACGCATTGCTTGTCATATAAAAAGTGTATACTAGCGTTCACGTCATCTTACCCAGACAGAACATACTCAGTGAACGCATTTGGATTTCTCTTGATGTATGTTTCTGTGACAGTTTCCAGACTGACATTGTGATTCTTTGATTTTCAGATCCAAGCTAGACTAGAGTGACTAAAGACCATCGTAGAGGCGGTGGTGGATGGCAAAGTTGTCTCATCTCAAGTCAGCAACCTTTCTGAGGTGAAGCTTAAATAGGCAATTTCCAGATCAACAAGAGTGTCCTTCAGAGAAAACAATCTAAAAGACACGAATGAAGAAGTTGCATCAATCTAGCCATCTTTCCGGCTAACTTCGGGAAAAAGTTTCCATACAGAAATAGATGACTAACAAATTTTTCTGCATCTTTTTCTTTTCTTATTAGAATTCTCTTGAAAAAGTTGAAATGACAGCTTTGCTGTAATTGTTTCTATGCTTCAATAAATTTACTTTTGCAAGTCAACTAAATTATTTCTGAATATTTTTAAAGAAATGCAATATTTTACCCAGAAATGAAGCTCTAGATTATGATCTAGCTGCATTATCGTTACAAATAATAATGTACACATTATTCATTATTTACATAGTGTCTTCCTCATGAGAATGAAAATTATAGCCATTTTGTATGTGGGAAATTTTTTTTTTTTTGTGGTACGTGGGCCTCTCACTGTTGTGGCCTCTGCCGTTGCGGAGCACAGGCTCCAGACGTGCAGGCTCAGCGGCCATGGCTCACGAGCCCAGCCGCTCCTCGGCATGTGGGATCTTCCCGGACCAGGGCACGAACCCGTGTCCCCTGCATTGGCAGACGGACCCTCAACCACTGCGCCACCAGGGAAGCCCCTGTATGTGGGAAATTTTAACATCACATTAGAACTCAGTGATAGCTGAAATTAGACCTCAGTGTCCCTAAAACAGCCAACAGCTTAGCCCACAAAAAAGGATGAGATTGAATAATCATTCTATAATTAATTAATGTCTAGTTTCTTTATGTCCATCACTGAACTGACTATTTCATGAGATAAAAAGAAACATAAGGGACTTCCCTGGTGGTCCAGCAGGTAAGACTCTGCTCTCCCAGTGCAGGGAGCCCAGGTTTGATCCCTGGTCAGGGAACTAGATCCCACATGCTGCAACTGAGACCCAGTGCAGCCAAAATTAATTAATTGGTTAATTTTAAAAAAAGAAACATAAGATATACCTCCTACTTCAAGAAGCTTACATTTTAGATGGAGAGGAAAGCTAAAAACACAAAGAAGATAGCAGACAATACAGGATGTTAACAGTGAAGGGCTTGATTCCACAGTATCTACCAGAAGTGCCGCAGGAATCTGACAGTGCATGTTTGCAGAGCTTTTAGGAGACTGGTCAAAATAAAAGTCTTGGGAAAGAAGATGGGATATGTAATATGGTGCCAGATTTCCGAAAACCTTGAAAGTCCCAAAGGGAATAGATGCTCAGATATTTGCTCCCTTGTGAAATCTAGCCACACCTCTAACCAAAACTTGTCACTTAGCCAAGCTGGTGTTTCCTATTCCCACTCTCCATTGCTGAAGTCTTTTACCCCATGGGTGGTCCACAGAGCTCTGTCTTGTCTTGCTTGGGAAACGAAGCCTGTTAAAGTAGGGTAGGGGGTGGTATAGGTCAGTCTCAGGAAGAAACAGGCAAAGGACAAAGCCAGGCTGGGTAAGGACTTTCCACTCAAGGAATTTAATATGACCAGACCACAAATTAGATCATCAATCCCACAAGCCAGTCCTTAAGAAAAGGACATGGGACTTGGCATAAAAACCCAAATTAAAAATTACAAAAGAGTAAACCTGAATGTAATTCATGTAAATTGTACCTTCCAATATAAAATCAATAAGAGCTGCATGAGAGTACCAAACCTTAATAATAAAAACAACCAAATAATGTAGTTTGTTTTCCTCTAGGCACACCGAATAAACCATAAAAAATGAATCTGTAGGCACTCTGTAACCACAGAATGAAGTTGATAGCTAAGCATCAACCACTATTCAGAGGAAAAGAGCAACACTGTCTTAAGTCAAACATATGTTTCCCATCAAAGCATTACAGCAAATTAAACCTTGGATGTTTCTCCTCTACTGAAAAGTTAAGAAATATGAACTCGCTGATTCAGCCTGGATTAAAGACAGAAGGACAGACATGGAAACCAGCTGTATGTGGCCTCCCATCGCAGTCACATCGGGAAAGCCTCTCTCCATGAGTCTTCCCACGTCCAGTCTTCTAGTCCTGTACCACCTGGGACCTATGTTTACGGCTAGTATTAGCCTCATGTCAGGGCAAAAGTATATGGCTACTCTGAAAATTATCTTGAGATGAAATCCTCATTCTGGGTTTCCTTGGCATGTGTTGAGATGCTGTATTTGTACTAAATGATTGTTGACAGATATGGAAAGGGCCAGATCACAGGTGCCAGCGTACTGAGATGCAGTAGACTGTGCGGTAAAAGGAGCTCATTCGATTTTAAAAACTGAAATGATTGAACCATTTTGGATTGTGAAATTTATTTAGAGTGCTGAATAAAATGTTAAGGACAGGGTGTTCACACCTTATTATCCGCCCTAAAATTATTTTAAAACCACACAACAGGCATAGGCTTTATTTTGAAACCCTAAAGTTCAGCTCTCCAGTCGACTTTTAAGTAAGAGGAATGTGTTTCTTTTTTCTGAGTTGGACTTATGGATAAGAAGGAAGAGCCAATGCCAACCTGCATACAGACGTTCATTGTTGACCTTTGATCCAGAGATTCATAAGGTTCTTCTTGTCTTTCTGACCTCAAAGGACAATGGACAAGAACAGTGAGGATGCTGGAGGTGGCGTCCATCCTCACAGAGATTAGAAACAAGAGACAAGGGACTTCCCTTGTGGCTCAGTGGTTAAGAACCTGCTTACCAATGCGGGGGACACGGGTTCGATCCCCAGTCCGGGAAGATCCCACATGCCGCTGAGCAGCTAAGCCCGTGTGCCACAACTACTGAGCCTGCCCTCTAGAGCCCACGAGCCACAACTACTGAGCCCACATGCCACAACTACTGAAGCCCACGCCCCTAGAGCCCGTGCTCTGCAACAAGAGAAGCCACCGCAATGAGAAGCCGGCGCACCGCAATGAAGAGTATCCCCCGGGCTTCCCTGGTGGCGCAGTGGTTGAGAGTCCGCCTGCCGATGCAGGGGACACGGGTTCGTGCCCCGGTCCGGGAAGATCCCACATGCCGCAGAGCGGCTGGGCCCGTGAGCCATGGCCGCTGAGCCTGCGCATCCGGAGCCTGTACTCCGCAACGGGAGAGGCCACAACAGTGAGAGGCCTGCGTACCGCAAAAAAAAAAAAAAATCCTTAAAGTGATTCTATCAGAGATGAAGCATCCACTTTATCAGCTCTAAAAGGAGTCACTAATTGATACCTCTCAATACCCTCCTGGAGGCATTGGGTTTTGCAGGGTTGAAGCCTTTCATGTCACACTTTGCCCAAAAATCAAGTCTATGGCAATTAGTCTCTGGTCAAGGGAAAAGAAGACTTGTAGGGGAGAAATGTGGTTTAGGTGGCTTCTGGCGAGCTTTTTCCCACCAACTTCGGGAGTGCCAACTTGGGAGCAGGTGAGGGAAGAATAGGAAAAGAAATCTAAATGACAGTTTCCCTGGACCAGGTGGCGCTCTGGAGCAGGCAAACAGTATACTTGAATATAAAATCAAAGCATCGTATAAGAAATTTTGGACCTGGAGCTAATGGTCAAGAAGCAAAACAGAACTACAAGAAATATTACAGGATAATTGGGGAACTTCAAAACAAGGTAAGAAACCTTGCTCTGCTGGATGAAAGAACTACACTAAAAATGACAAAATATTAAAAGATTAGGAACATCTTACACATATACCTGTACTTTTCTCAATTTAACCAGATTAAGGAATTCAACAAGCAACAAAATATACCTCTTAGCAATATTAGTTTTTTTTCTAATTAGCTCACTTTTATATAGTTGATTTTATGGAAAGAGTTGTAGAAATGTCTCCAAAATACTTAAATGAAATTAGACTAAGTAAATTGCCTACAGTTATTTTATTCTCAAAAGAAGAGATAAATGCTATAAAGAAATATTTAAGCAATTATTTAATGTATTTGTCATTAAGGCATCATATACATCTAAAATTTCATTGAAGACCCTGAAATTGTCATCGCTAAATACCAGTGCACAGAAGTTACAAATGTGAGTGTAACAAACACAACTTTTTTGTGTCCTGCTTTCCCAGATATCAGATGCAACCATTAACGACACCAGCTTCATGCTGCAGACTGACAATATAAAACTAGTAGCCGACAGCTTCAGACAAAGTAAGACATGGTTACCTTCAATGGCACAATGGAAGACATAAGCCAAGGAGAGAAACACTACATGAAGTCATGCTTATTTGTATACTGGAGTCACAAGTTATGAAAAGAGTATCTTTCTTTTTAGAAATAAATGAAATCCTAAAAATGAAAAAAATATTTTAGCTGAATACACTGTAGAAGGCCATTATTTACAAGAATGTTTTGTGTTCAAATGATCACTACCTAATTTATGTTTCATAATTAAGAATTATTTCATTTATGTAAAGTTGAAAAACATGTACTGTACCATTATGAAACGATGTATGGTTTAGTAATGCAAACAAAAAAGGTTAAACTAAAAAGAGCAGCAAATAAAATATAAGCACAAAATTCAGGGGCAGGAAGAGGGCATGCAAGTGACTCAATTGTACTGGTAATGACAACGTTTCAGTTCTGAGTGTGGTTCATGGGTATTTGCTGCATTGTTTTTCTCAATACGTTGTACACAGTTTATAATTATTACCATGCATCTATTCAATAATGCTTTTAGTTTCAATAAAGTAAAAAGGCTTGAATTTTGAAGGAAGGATTTGAATAGGCAGACATGAAGCCAATATGAATGAAGGAAAAGTGATAGGACTGACCATGATTTACATGGAACTATGACGTTGAATCTGGCAGAATAAAGAATTCACCTTTGGAGAATGACAGGGATAAGATTAGATACATGGAATAGGGTCAAACCATGGAGGGTCTTAGCTTCTCTGAGGAGTAGAAACTAATGTTAAGTTCCACAGAGAACTCTTGGAAGCCTTAGGCTTAGGAGTAACCTATCAAGGGTTGATTAAGGAAATTAACACGACCTCTGCACACAAGATGGATTGGAGTGGTGGGGATAGAGACTAGAGACAAAGTGAGTAGCTTACTGTAGCAAC